CCGCCCGGGTCGCGGTGGGGAGCAGGGGGCGCGGGGGTGATAGCTCCGATGCCGGTAACAGGAGTAACAGCAGCAGCCAGACCCCCACCGTTCCCCGGGCGGACTCGCTGCTCTCCTCCCGGCTGGGAGACGGGAAGCAGGTCCAACCCTGGGCGGAGTGGGGAGTGGACGCCCGGGGGCCGGGAGGACCTACTTAGTATAAGAATAGGAGAGCGATGGGTGGTCAGGGAGGAATTGAAAGAATACTGACCGGCCCAGGGGGTGGAAGGGAGGGAGGGTCTCTCCCCTTTGAACTAATACGCATCCAGCGGGGCAGCCCATGGGGTGTGTGGACGGACGGGTCACCTGCGTTAACTATGTCTGGGCGCCTCTTGTTAAGCTGGCACCCCAGCTGGTTCCCTCCCCTGGCAGTGGAGGACTTGGCTAAACGTTAGTCCGAAGATCTGACCCACTGCCATGGCCTCAGTGAATACTGAGGCCCCAGGAGGGAGGTCGGTGAGTCTCTGGCCCCTGCCATTGACCTCAGGGATGGGATCTGGAGTCAAACGAATTCGTTTGTCAAGCAGTGGGGGATGGGTGTGGACGTGGTTCCTGGAACCTTCTAGCAGGAAATCCTTGGTCGAAGACCAGAAGGATAAAGGACGATGATCTGGTCACCTGGGAGAGTGGATTAATGCCTGCTTTTGTCTTCTTGGGCACGCCCTTTGTGACCTTTCTCCAACCAGTTTCTTCTCTTTTTTCCTCTCCGAATTATGCCTTTATTTTCCTTTTTAAAAAATATGTTTTTATTGGTTTTTAGAGAGAGAGGAAGGAGAATGATAGAGAGAGATAGAAACATCAATGAGAGAGAAACATCACTGATCCCCCATAGGGGATCGAGTCTGCCACCTGGGCATGTGCCTGACCAGGAATCAAACCAGTGACCTCTTGGTTGCTGGGACGATGCTCAACACCTGAGCTACACCAGCTGGGCTGTTTGCCTTTTTTTTAAAATGTAGAGGTAAAGTCATCCAACGTACAGATGTAGCTATGGCTCCTTACATATTTTGTTCTATCTAAAGTTAGGTATTTCAGCTCTGAGATGAAGACAATGATCCCATTAAAATGACAACATTTCTGAAAAATGGGTTTCATATTTATTTGATGGGAAATAAACTCCCCACTACCCCCCCAAAAAACAACAACAACAAAACCTCTAGTCCAGAGCTACTGTTCACAACCGTGGCTAACACATGGTGTCCATGCAGAGAGAGGGCCCTGAGACAAGGAATGTTGTTAAACTTTTTAAACCAGCTTCTTCTTTATTGTTCCGAATAAGAATCCTGAAGAAAAGCATTTTCCTTTTAGCCCAAGCGGCTATGAATAGTAAAAACCAGCTGATTTGAAGTCCCTGGAATGCATGGAACTTAGACTCTCCTAACGCACACAGCCAGCTCCCAGGCTCTGAGTCTGCCTTTTAGGAAGACTGGTGCTCGCTGGGTCCCCGGCTGTTTATCCTTCTGGGGGGTGGTTTTGAGTGGCTGCTGCTTTGGCATCTGGCTGCTGGGTTTCAGTTTTGGGATCTTCTCCATTTCCAGCACTTTTCTTCTCTTGTCTGCTGCCACGACGGCCCCCATGATTTCCATGATTTCCGGCGGTGGCTGATCACTTCCCTGGAGCTGGGCCGGAGTTCATAAACCTGGACTTGACCTGGGACATCTGTTGCTTTCAATTTCTTTCCAGGATGGTCTGAACCTTGCTAACACCATCTCCCCTGGCCTGACGGACATCAGCTGGTCGTCCTTCAGGATCTACCCAGTCCAGAGCCAGTAGCTCTTTGGTCCCTTATCAGGTATTTTTTGTCCGTCTTCGTACCTTCAAAGTTATCCACAGCCTGCTCCAGGATGGCTTCTGCTCGGCACACCTGGATATTAGGGGGGTACTTCAGCCTCTCCTGGCTTTGGAGGTGTGGCTTCTGCCGAGGCAGGGCTGGGGGCTGCCCCTCGTCTGCAGCCACGTTCTTGGAGGACGATCAAATCAGTTTCTTCTCAGGTCACACCTTGGCCTCAAACCTCCCGGGGCTCCCCTGTGCTGGCTGAAAAACTGCCCTCCGCACAGGGCCGGCCACCGGGGCTTTGCTGCCTTTCCTGCCACTCACTGGCTTGCACCCAGCAAATGATTTGCCATCTCCCAGCTCCAGTTTTCTGTTCAGGAGAATGGGGGTTGCACTCATATGACCAAACCTGTTACC